CAGTTAGTTGGAAGTCTACTTTGCAGTCAACAGTTGCTTTGTCTACTACAGAGTCAGAGTACATGGCTATTACAGAGGCTGTGAAAGAGGCAATTTGGCTTCAAGGATTGCTAAAGGAGCTTGGTGTTGAACAAAAAGGTATCACAATTTTTTGTGATAGTCAAAGTGCTATTCAATTAGCGAAGAACCAAGTTTATCATGCAAGGACGAAGCACATTGATGTTCGGTATCATTTCGTACGAGAAATCATAGAAGAAGGTGGAGTCACGGTGAAGAAAATTCATACTACAGAGAATCCTGCTGATATGCTGACAAAGGTGGTGACTGCGGTCAAGTTTCAACATTGTTTGGATTTGATCAACATTGTTGAACACTGAAGATTGAAGATGAAGACACAACCAAAATTTGTTATTGAGAGAGAATTGAAAATGTGGAATTTTGCCAAGGTGGAGATTTGTTGAAGTTTGGCAAATTTTTGTCCCACATCGGTGGGCTCTTGAGTTTTGGGGGAATTTTCCCCCTATAAAAGAAGGCCTAATGTTTATGATTTAAACACACCTCTCATTTGCCTTCTCATCTGTTTAAGGCATTTGTATCTTCTCTCTTTAGTATTATTTCACTTGTATTTTTGGAGTGAAATAAAATATTGGTTGTGTCCGAGGAGTAGGCAAAATTAGCCGAACCTCGTAAATTCTGGTGTTCCCTTTATTGTTGTTTTATTGTCTTATTTATTATTTGGTGGCTGTCATAATTTTTAGTATAGTAGTTGTGACTTATTCACACTATATACATTTGGCTTCCGCAACACTAACCAATTAACTACGAATTAAGCAGATACTTTACTGAATAGAAAATAAAAAAGGAAAATAAAGCAGATGCTTCTTTTAGTGAATAGCAGAAAAAGATGGGAACTGGTACTCACACTGGAAAAGCTAAAGATGTACCACTCCCATCAGAATGGTGAATTGTGGTGTAGGAGTCTATAAACCCTTCATTCCCTTTGGAATGTCCAATGGTAGTTGAATATTCTGCGTTCCGTCCTACTTTAATTTCCTCTTCAAAATGGAGTTCTTTCTTAATTGGTTCATGTTGACTTCCTGCTTCAATAAGGTTGTTTCCTGTTACCACACCCTTTTCTGTATCACAGATCCTTTCCGTATGTTTTCCTCCTTTTACAGTTGGAGAGTCCCTAAAGCTAATTAGCTTGCTGGACTTACTAACTTCTTCAGATCTGTCTAATTCTACACACTTGTTTTTTGGTTCCCCAGATTTATGAAGTTCCCCTGACTTCCAGATATCTCCACCCATCAATAGAATATGATCCCTCGAAAGACTGACGTTGATACTAAACAATGACTCATCAGAGGCAGCACTCCATTCCTTAGGTGTTGACGATTTACTTCCAAAAATAGAAGACGGAACTCTGTTGGGATCATAGCCTCCTTGCCTTTCCATCATTTGGATAGAAGGAGATTTTGTAATTGACATGGTTGGCAATAAAGATTCATCAGAGATGTCTGAAATCTGCGAGGCGGAGCTTGTTGATGTATTCAGTTCCAATTTACAGAACATACCATTCAAACCATTGTAGTCATCTTGGGATAAAGGTTTGGCATCCCTAGAATATTTAGAAGATGTTACATCTAATGAGATAGAGTTGGATGCTATTTTTGGATTCACTAAGATGAAATCATCCGAGGAAGAACCATCTGAGGATGAAAATATGGAACAAGAAAGTTCTGAACTTTTACTTGATCCTGAAGTACTTTCATTTAAGATGGCATCTGAACTTGTTCTGCTTTCACTCTCATTTTTAGAATCCACGAGAAAGGTTATTGGTGAACTGGCCTCAGTTTCATTTTCAGCAACCACTGTATCTGTTCGAGAATGGTTACAGGTTCCACTTCCATATTTAGGGTCCATGCCTCGAATAAAGCTAAAAATCACCTGTAGAAAACCATCAACTTGTTTAGATGCACAAACAAAGTCCAGTCGGTCTTAATATGATAACAGGATTAGAGATGAGATTAATTTATTGTTTGAGGGAAGCAATGTAACACTCGCAATGAGCACCATCTCATGCAAAAAAGAAGCACCTAGGTCAAACTCCTGATTATTAATGGCCACCTTTTTCTAGGTTCGTTCAAAAATAGAATGCACATGGAAACAAAGGCGGATCCAGAATTTAAACTTGATAGCTTCAACCTTTAAGGCTATTTGACTGAACTTATTGTTCTTCCGGAATTACAGGTTCAGAGTGTAATATTTGTCGAAGTTTTAGCCATTTTTCACGAAAGTAGTGGATTCAATTGAACATAGTCTGCGTCCGCCTCTACATGGAAAGTGAACTTCATTAGAAAGACCCATGACATAATGTTTGCAGGTTTGCTTGGCCTACTTTCAAGATGCTTTAATGTTCAATATGCGATCATTGTGTTAATCGACAATCTATGTACCATAACTGCGAGAATGCACAGGAAAAAAATCTAATTTTTTAACAATGATACAATGAGCCCTATATATAATACATATTCTACTCCTACTACATATGAGACTAGAACATATTCTACTCCTACTACATGTAGGAATATGACTATTTACACATAACTATGTAACACTCCTCCTCAAGCCGGTGCATACAAAACATATGTACCGAGCTTGTTATATATGTAACTAATACGAGGACCAGTGAGGGACTTGGTGAAAATATTTGCAAGCTCATCATTCGACATACAAAGCCACTAGATTCCCCTTGAGCAGCAAACCAAGTGGTTGTTGATAAGCAGAAGTTGGCTGAAAGGTCGTCGGAAAAATTTGAAAATAGTAAGACTAAGTCGAATTCCACACTACAAAGTAGGTTCTAAAACACCACCAAAAACAGAAACTTTTCTTAAAATTACTGTTCACACCGGAAAATCACTGTTCGCACCGGAAAAAGTGCACTGTTCATGCTAGAGAAAATAAAAATTGTCAGATTTTGATATGATTTATATGGGTAGGCTCGGAATCACTGGACGAGTAAGTTGTCCTGAATAAGTTTTGTCAAAAAATGGCCGGAATGGCTCACACGCGCCGGAAAAGTTATTGTAGCTCGCCGAAACCCTAGTTCTGGCGGCGCCTTGAGGTGCGTGACCTTTTGTCCGAGCGATTGACTAGGGTTTTGTTGCCTGACTTTTTCGAACAAGATGTGGTGTTGCTCTTCGCACAACACTTACTATGATGAGATAACGTAAATCAATTTTGAGTCGTTAACCGGAAAGACGCACGGTGACTCACTTTTCTGTTCAGATGGGACTGGAATTTCTGGGGTTTGGTCGCACAAGGGCTTTAGATCTGATGGTGGTACTGGTATATGCATAGTACCACTGTAGCAGTGATGAGCCTTGGGAACAAGACGAAGTTGCTGAAAAATTGCACGGCGATGAGATCTTTCTTCCCGGATGTCACTGGAATGACACACAACGATAATTTTCTCACTCAAGCGTTGATACCATGTGAGAATGCACTGGAGAAAAATCTATTTTTTTAACAATGATACAATGAACCCTATATATAATACATATTCTACTCTACATATGAGACTAAGACATGTTTTACTCCTACTACATATGGAATATGACATATTCTACTCCTACTACATATAGGACAAGGGCTATTACACATAACTATTTAACAGTAACTGCCATCTTATGCTCTTGACCTAAAGCTCCTGATACTTCCACTTGCTGATCGACATAAAAAGAAAGTTGAAAGAAGGGACTGACAGAAACTTCTCATCGCATTTATCTACGTATTCTATCAATTTTTTTCAAACACAGTAAAATATAAACAAGTCATTCATGAAATGGAAGTCATCTCCATACAATGATCTATAACTCAGAACCATTACCTAATGCAAATACCAATTTTTAATGCCAATATCTTCCTACGAATGGAGCTGCATCAGATGAATATAGCCAAAGTGCAACCGGCAGTTCCACCATTTTGACAACAGAATCTATAACCACCCAATAAAAGTTCTCTAAAAGGGAAGATAGAGAATAAACATCAAATCACAGTGAGCAACAAGAGGCTTGAATGTAGATGAACCCAAAAGTCTAAGAATTTACCGCAAACACTAATGACATAAACCAAAAAATGACCATTTTGTTCTAGAACCTGTCAATCAAACATAACAGAATGCACTTGGAAAGTGAACTTCATTAAGAAAGACCCATGAGACAAAGTTTGTATGTTTACTCTGTTGCGGAAGCCAAATGTATATAGTGTGAATAAGTCACAACTACTATACCAAAATTATGANTCGACATCCTAGACTGGACCGCTGTCTTAAAAAAAACCGGTTCTATAGTTTAATGTGTTATCATTTTTCAATTCAAGCTGTACCATCACGACCTTACTATATACTGACTAAAACTTCCTGATGCTTCTAGAAATTGAAACAAAGTACTGACAGAAACTTTTCATAAACTTATCAGCTTATTCGATCAATGTTTATTTTCAATCCCAAATAAATTGAGAGAAATATGAATCCTTAATATACATTTAGCTCTACTCGTGTCCATGTCAATCCGATACTCTGAAATAATTCTCACTTATTGCAAAAAAGAAAAAAAAGGAATCTATGATACCAGAGTTTCTCTAGATCTTACACTTATCCCCCCACTGAGGCACGAGTTCCCAATCAAACTAACAACATTTGACTTAATGTAAGTAAAACAACAACTACTACTTAAACAAATTTGTTGGTATCTCCTACATGGATTTAGCTAAGTCCATATTGATCCTATCATTTTCTCTCCAGTTTTATTACAATCAAAATCACTTTTTAAACAAAAAAGAAAGTCATTTATGAAATGAAAGGTAAGTTCCGGTGTTTTGCGTGATAAGAATGTGCCGCTAAGACTTAAAGGTAAGTTCTACAAGGTTGTAGTTAGACCAACTATGTTGTATGGAGCAAAGTGTTGGCCTGTCAAGAAAACTCATGTCCAGAAGATAAAAGTAGCTGAGATGAGGATGTTAAGGTGGATGTGTGGGCATACCAGGTTGGATAAGATTAGGAATGAAGTTATTCGGGATAAGGTGGGAGTGGCTCCTGTGGAGGAAAAGATGCAGGAGGGGAGGTTAAGATAGTTCGGGCATGTTATAGAGGAGAAGTATAGAAGCCCCAGTTAGAAGGTGCGAGAGGCTAGCCTCAGCGGGTATCAAGAGGGGTAGAGGTAGGCCTAAGACAAAGGCGGATCTAGGATTTGAAAGTGGCGGGTGCCATAATTTCTTTTAATATATACCTTATAATGACTAATATGAAATTTATTAGGAATGTTTATTCGATATTGTAAATATGGAATCATACCTTAATTATAGCAACACAAGTAAAATCAACATTTTCACTGGGAAATTACATCTTTTTTTTATATATTAAAAATAAATTTACACAAGATAACATCTTGAATGAGGGAATTACATCAAGCAGACTAAGAAATTTTTAAAAAATATTTTCAATAGATAAACTATATCCCACAAGTATAGAATTAAATAAACTAGGAGTTCTCAAAAATCAAAATCATAAATCTCATATTTTTTAAGCAATGCTTAGAAATTTTTTGTTATAATTTAATAGTAAAGAGATTTAAATTATATTTAATAACCATAGAATAACATAAATGTTTATGATACAACTAAAAAAAAGAAGAATTTTTTTTGATCTCAATCGAAAATTCTCATTAAGACTCAAATTTTTCGGATATGAAAGAAGCAAACTCATATATTTAAGATTAAGAGGAATGCTTATTTTATAAAATTTTCTAATATTGGAGTCTTTTTTTGAGTGTTTTTGTTAGAGACCACATATAAATAATAGAATAAAAAAAAGAAAAATACAAAAAAAGAAAAAGAAATGATAAATAGAAAATTGGGAGGGAGCCAAGAAGGAAAATAATTGGGAAAAAAAGAAATAAAAAGCACACGAAAAGGAAAAGTCGGACAAGGTTCAAGATAATTTTCAACTTAAATTTTTCACACGAGAAAGCTTTCAAAAAGATCTACCAGTCATGGCACGAGATAATTTTCAACTTGAATTTTTCACACGAGAAAAGCTTTCAAAAAGATCTACCAGTCATGACACCTTTGTCTAATTTATAGCTGCGGGTGGTACGATTAGATATTTAACCTAATTTAAGAAAATTTCAACATTGGTATATAATTTTTTTATCATCTTAGCGGGTGTCATGCCACCCCATTGTAAAGGGGTGGATCCGCCCCTGGCCTAAGAAGTCTTGGGGCTAGGTTATTAGGCGGGACATGGCACATCTGGAGCTGACTGAGGATATGACCCTAGATAGGAGGGTGTGGAGGTCGAGGATTAGGATAGAATGCTAGTAGGTAGTTGAGTGTATCTCTTTGTCTTTCTCAGTTCGCTAGCATTAGTGTTAGTATGATATCCAGGGGCGGCCCGACGAGTTAAGTGGCCTAAAGCCAAACTTTATAAGAGGACTTAACTTTTTTTTTTTAAAAAAAAAATTATTTATTTATTTGAAGTCTATTTTTCTAACGTATCTTAGATACAAAGCTATTAATAATTTTAAACAATAAGTCCTAATAAGTCTTTCTTAATTGACAATATAGCTAATCCATTTAACCTTTCTTGAAACATTGTTGATCATAGGTAAGATTTTATCAATTTTAATTTTGAAAAATTCATTCAGCTGAAGCGATAGTAACAAAAGTTATTAATATTATTCCATAAGTAATATAGGCATGGGAAAAAGAATCAAATCTTTTTATTTGATCGAGTGTATCAATTACACTGTTATCTTCTAATTGAACTACTTTTCTTCATATTTTTAATTCCAAACATAAATCTAAACCATCAATATCGAATTGATCATTATGCTTTAAGGAACATTCAAGATTAAGGCAATATTTTTTCAAATTTTCATCATCTAGTGATCTTAATTTTACCGCTAATTAGAAAACCAAAAATATTTTCATATGCTTCGAATTGTTAAAATCTATTTTGAATTGAAAAAAATAGTCTTGTCTACTATGTATAAAGTAATCAACTCCAAAGGACTCTTCGAAAGATTTTGAGATTTTATTATCAACATTCTCATCAAATTGATACTTCCTATATATCATACGTTTCTTATGAAATTCGGATTCGACATTCATTTCAAGTGCAATTTTCGTGGCAGAAATCATAGTAGTTGCAAATCCTTATTCTCTATACTTGTTAAAGAAAGAAATCAAATATTTTCACTTCACAGAACCTTTTTTAAAACTTATACACAACCGATTAGGTGTAACAAAAAATAAGGCCCCCACAAATATGGGGCCTAAAGCACTTGCTTTATGGAAGGGCCGCCCACGATGATATCCTTTTATTCATAGATTGCTATTACTACCTAGAGTTTAACTACTTTCTTGGCTTCGGTATTTTTTTATCTTGTTGTTACTCCTTCTTGTTGTCATTACTTTTGTCATCCATTCTCCAGCCGAGGGTATATCGAAAATAACCTCTCTGTCCTTCTAGGGTAGGGGTAAGTGAGGCTGCGTACATCTTGCCCTCCTCATACCCCACTTGTGGGAAATTACTTGGTTTGTTGTTTTTATGAAATGAAAATTATCTGCGATAAATGAATCTGTAATAAAAAATTATTACCTGATGCAAACAGCAGTTTAATGCCAATGCCCTCCTATAAAAGAGCCGCCTTATATATTTTCGGGGCGGTACCGGCAATACTTTTCAACTTTTTCCCCAAGCAGAATCTCTAAAAGAGAAAAATGTAAAATTAGAAATCACAGTTATAACAAGATTAACGTGAGTAAAGTATCTCCAAAAATCAAAGCTTTAGGCCAGAAACAGATGACCAAAAAAAAAACAAGAAATACATGTCGATCTGGGATTTGCCTCAAATTAAACATCCAAACTCTATTGGCCAAAAAGTAAGAAATGAACATTTTGCTGTGGGATTTTTCTGAATTAAAACATTTTACCTAGTAAGTGAATCTTAGATTCTTATTTTCTCTCTTGATCCTTCTTCAACTTTTATAAATCGTTCTTGGGGTTCATAATTTCTTTAATTAATCCGGGTGGGATATGATGAGTTTCTGCAAGGATCAAAAGAAATGGAGGGATTAGGGTTTTTTTTTTTTGGGGAGGAAATATATGATAAGAAAAGTTGGGAAGGTAAAGAGTAGGCTTCGGAGTCATCACTCTCTTATTCTTGAATAACGAACTTCGGTTTTGTTTGGCGCCAGCCTACAACTAACACCTTCCTCACGTGCTCTACACGTGCATTTGAACACACTTAGTTTATGATTCATAATCATTATGTTAAAATAAATAGTCCAACAATTTAAAATGTATATTAAATCATTAATTTTGTGCCATTTCTTCAAAATTTTGTAGCTGTCACAATGTTAGCAACATTCTCGTAGTTAATTCATTTTTAATATTTGAAAAAATCAAATAGCGTAGACCATAAAAAAGAAGTTAAGACCAAAAATTCCATTAAGGCGGATCAGAGAGAGTATTTCTTAGGGGAAGCTTAGCAAATACCCATGCGCATGCAACTATTTACCTGTTCCTACCCATTTTTTTAATACCCAGCCAAATGAAGTCAAACTAAGCTACTATAAACCAAGCCAATTCAAGCCAAGCCAATTCAACCAAAACCAAGCCAAGCCAAGCCAAATCAAATCAAGTCAATCCAAGCCAAAACGATTCAAGCGAAGTCAAACAAAACCAGTGCTTAGCCTCAGGCGAATAGAGGATAGTTCTAGGTCTTAAATAGCACAATGGAGATAGTAGCCTTATGCAATTAGGGAGGCAATGCTTGCCCTCATGCAGGAAAATGAGACAGTGCTTAGTCTCGATGCAAGGAAAGGCACGGCTTCGCCTTATGCAATTAGGGAGGAGATGCTTAGCCTCATGTAGGAAGAGGATACAATGCTTAGTATCGGTGCAAAGAAAGACAGTGCTTAGCCTCATGCAGGAAAATGAGACAATGCTTAGTCTCGATGCAAGGAAAGGTAGTGTTTAGCCTTATGCAATTAGGGAGGCAATGCTTAGCCTCATGCAAGGAGGAGACAATGCTTAGTCTCGATACAGGGAAAGGTGGTGCTTAGCCTTATACAATTAGGGAGGGAATGCTTAGCCTCATGCAGGAAACGGAGACAATGCTTAGTCTCGATGCAAAGAAAGACAATGCTTAGCCTTATGCAATTAGGGAGGCAATGCTTAGCCTAATGCAAGGAGGGGAGAAAAATGGAAAAGTAATGTATTTCTTAGCTAAAGATGTTCGTGCTGGATAATTTGTCTTCTTGAAGGCGATGTCTTGATGTATCTGCGAATATCGTTGCCTTATTATTCTTGTATTCAAAGAAAAATTGTGAGTTTTGTGGGGGAAGGTTGGTTCATGCTTTTATCTTATGCTTTGCCTGTGCTCCTGTCTTGAGATCCTATTTGAGTTACCCTGGGTAACATCTGGCTTCCATAGAAATAAAGTTTTTGAAAAAATATGCATGCATTTGATAAATATAGTTGTTTAAAATGTAGTAGTATGCAATATCAAATAATTTAGATGAAGCGATGACTGTGACATATTTTAGAGACACCGTGACCTATTTGCTTTAGAATTTTGAGGATCCCCCTCAAAATTCTGCCCTAGTTTGAAAGCGATTCTTTGATTGCTCTTCGTATGAAGAAATCGGCTGGACTTACTTCAGAATTTTGAGGGGTTTCCTTAAAATTCTGCCTCAGTTTCTGGCCATGGCAAAATGTAGATTTTATTAAGATGTGACCGAACCTACAGGGCTGCCTACATATCCCCTCTTTAACGGGAATCAGGTCAAACGTAGTTCAGTTACATCAAGTGAAGAAATGTAAACAATCCTAAACATAATATCTCTTAACTGAGTTTTTGGCCAAATTTCTCCGTCCATTTCTGCAAGTATGAACGACCCTCCTATTAGTACTCGATGAACTATGTAAGGATCTTGCCAGTTGGGTGAAAACTTCCCTTTGGCTTCATCTTGATATGGAAAGATTCGCTTCAGCATCAGCTACCCCGGTATGAACTGTCTAGGTCTGACCATTTTGTTAAAAGCTCGAGACATTCTGTTCTAATAAAGTTGACCATGGCATACCACGTTCATTCTTTTTCTGTCAATGAGAGCCAATTGTTCATAGCGACTCCATATCCATTCTACATCACTGAGTTTAGCTTCCTGTATAATTCTTAAAAAAAGAATTTCTACTTCGGCGGAAATGACGGCTTCAATACCGTAGACCAGCAAATAAGGAGTTTCCCCGGTTGATTGCGAACTTTGGTACGATATCCCAATAAGGCAAATGGTAATTTCTTGTGATTGTCTACCATCTTTCTCAGTATTTTCTTGATGTTCTTGTTGGCGGCCTCCACAACTCCATTCATTTGAGGCCTGTATGCTGTGGAATTCTTATGCTTGATCTTGAAGATTTCATACATAGATTTCATTAAGTCACTGTTGAGGTTGGCGGCATTGTCAGTGATGATGGATTCTGCACCCCAAATAGGCAAGCAATACGATCTTTGACAAAATCTGTGATGACTTTCTTAGTTACAACTTTGTAAGATGCAACTTTAACCCACTTTGTGAAGTAATCTATGGCCACTAGAATGAACCTATGCCCATTTGAAGTGGTGGGTTCGATCGGACCGATGACATCCATTCCCCAAGCGGAGAAAGGCCAAGGTGCACTTGTTTCATTGAGTTCATTTGGTGGAACTCGTATCATATTTGGATGTACTTGGCATTGATGGCACTTTTGAACATACCTGATGCAATCCGCTTCCATAGTCATCCAAAAATATCCTGCTCTTAACATCTTCTTGGCTAAGACGAAAACGTTCATGTGTAGTCCGCAAGTTCTGGCATGTATCTCTTCGAGCATCTTGGATTCTTCCTTGGCATCGACATACTGTAATAGTCCTAGATCTGGAGTCCTTCTATACAAAATTCCTCCACTTTGGAAGAAGTGGTTGGATAACCTCCGGATTGTGCATTTCTAAGTATGATTTGCGTGCTTCGGGTATTCTCTTTTTGCTAGATATTCTTTGATGTCGTGGAACCATGGATTTCCATCGGTTTCTTCTTCAACATGAGCACAATGAGTCGGCTGACTTTGGATTCCTACCGGGATAGGGTCGATGAAATTCTTGTCTAGGTGTTGTATCATGGAAGATAAAGTAGCCAAAGTATCAGTGAACTCATTCTGAATCCTTGGAACATGTTTGAATTCTATCTTTGTGAATATCTTCATCAAATCTTGCACATTGTAAAGATACAACAATATCTTGGTATTCTTTGTAGCCCATTCTCTTAGAACCTGATGTACCAAAAGGTCTGAATCACCAATTACAAGTAGTTCCTTAACGTTCATGTTGATGGCTAGTTTGAGTCCTAAGATGTAGGCCTCGTATTCTACCATGTTGCTGGTACATGGGAATCTGAGCTTTGTAGATACTGGATAGTGCTGACCTATTTCTAATACGAAGACAGCTCTAATGCCCACTCCTTTGAAGTTTGCATCTCCATCGAAAAATATTCTCCAACCATCATATATTTCGGTGATATCTTCTCCTATGAATGATACCTCTTCATCGGGAAAATATGTTTTCAGTGGTTCGTATTTTCCACCTACAGGAGATGATCCGTCAACGCTTGCCCTTTAATCGCCTTCTGAGTTATATAGACGATGTCAAATTCACTTAATAGTATCTGCCTTTTTGCCAACTTGCTCGTAGGCATGGGTTTCTGGAAAATGTATTTTAGAGGATCCATCCTTGATATGAGATATGTGGTGTAGGCACAGAAGTAATGCCTCAACTTTTGAGCTATCCATGATAAAGCGCAGCAGATGAGTTCTAGCAAAAAATATCGATCTTCGTATGGCGTGAACGTCTTACTCAGATAGTATATGGCCTGCTCCTTTCTTCCCATCCTGTCGTGTTGTCCCACGACACAGCCAAAATCCCTATCTAGTACGGACAAATAGAGTAGCAAAGGTCTTTCAGGTTCCGATGGGACCAGGACTGGTGGTGTGGATAAATATTCCTTGATTTTGTCAAAGGCTTTTTAGCATTCTTCAGTCCATCTTGTTGCAACATCCTTCTTTAACATTCTGAAAATCGGTTCACATATCACAGTTGATTGTGCTATGAAACGGCTGAAATAGTTGAGACGCCCTAAGAAACTCATCACATCTTTCTTGCTCTTTGGAGGTGGCAAGTCTTGGATAGCTTTAACCTTTGACGGGTCTAGCTCAATCCCTCGACGTCTGACGATGAAACCTAGCAATTTTTCAGCAGGGACTCCGAAGGCACACTTTGTAGGATTCAGTTTCAGATTGTACCTTCGAAGCCGATTAAAGAATTTCTTCAAGTCTGCTATATGATCTGTGCTTCTTCTGGATTTGATGATGACATCATCCACGTACAACTTTATTTCCTTATGAATCATGTCATGGAAAATGGTTTTATAGCTCTTATGTAAGTGGCTCCAACATTCTTCAGGCCAAACGACATCATCTTATAACAATACATCCCCCACGGAGTGATAAAGGCGATCTTTTCGGTATCCTCTCCATCCATCCAAAATTGATGATACCCCGCGAAGCAATCTACAAAAGACTAAAGCTCATACCTGGCACAATTGTCGATTAGTATGTGTATATTGGGCAATGGGAAATCATCTTTGAGACTTGCTCTATTTCAATCCCGTTAATCAACACATACTCTGACCTTCCCATCTTTCTTCGGAACCGGCACGATGTTGGCTCACCAGGTTGGATATTCAACCACTCTGAGAACCTTGGCATTGATTTGCTTAGTAACTTCCTCCTTTATCTTCCAACTCATATCTGGCTTGAATATTCTAAGCTTCTATTTCACTAGTAGGCATATGGGATCGGTGGGTAACTTGTGAGCCACTATGGATGCGCTCAGATCGGTCATATCATCATAAGACCACGCAAAGATGTGTTCATACTCTTTCAGGAACTGAATGTACTATTCTTTCTCTGATGGTGATAGGTGAATACTTATACGGGTTTCCTTGATTGATTCAGAATCTCCTAAGTTAACTGTCTCTGTTTTGTCCAAGTTAAACTTAGCCTTTTTTTCAAAATTTTCCACTTCTCTGACAATATC